CAGGCTTCCTGCGGGCCGCTGGGCGACCCGGCCGCGCCGCCACGGGCCCCGGCAGCTCCCCGTGTGTCACGGTCAGGCCCGGAGTGCGGGTAGAGGCGCCGTCTGCTCTGAAGCCAGTCGGAGCTATTGCCTTGAATGTCCCTGTTCCAGAAAAACCAACAGTCACCAGCAGAGCTCCGAGACTACAAACTCCCCTGAAAGCATATCTCTTCAAATTTGAGTGAAATTAAAGCAATTTGGGGAATTGTTCTTGTGAGGGACTACTTTCCCCTCTATCCCCCCGCTCCTCCCAGTGCTGCAGGTTTCCCAGGCCATCTCTTCCTTTCCAACCTCCAGCCATTTTGCTATTTTTGCTGGACAAGGGAGAAGGAGATACAGATCACCCTTTATTGTAAGATCCTGTGATGGGACCTTGTGATTTCTTTTCATTTAGCCTGACTTTTTACATGTAAATGCTTAATGCATTAATGTAGGCTTTCTGCAGTCTGCAGTAGTTTAAAGCTGATATGAAATATGCCTTACCCCAGTGTGCGCTATTAGCACTGGTAATTTGTGTCTGAATAGCTACATTGGTGCTGTGCTTAACGTAGACTAAAATCCAGTGGAAATGTGCAAGTAGAAGTTTTCTTCTGCTAGCTCCACTTTCCCCTAAAATTGAAAGTTAAACTGTAGCAAGGAAGGGACAAGTCTGTAACATGTTCCTATCATTGAAGTTGCTATCTTTCTGTATGCTGCTGATGCTCCCCACCACTCTTTTTTTTCAGGTAAAATTTATATGAAGTGTGCAGATGGTATTGAGGGACAATCTTTTTTTGGGTTTATATCATCAGGCTCTGGATTTTGTATCCTCAAAAAATACAGCTTTGTAGCAGGATTTAGTTCAACTCTTATGTTCAAGCGTCGTTAGATGATTTAGTATGACTTGACAGTAGCTTTTTTGTGATATTAAAAACCACAACAAATGTGGTGAAACAATTCAGTGCAGTGTAATATTGTTTGCAAGGATACCGCTTAAAATTTCCATTTCATTTCCCTGCTGGTGAGCATCTTGTTAGTGTTTCACAGGCTTACCCAACTCTTCTGTTGCAGGCACACTGAGTTCCAAGAAACCTGTTTCTCTTTTGGATGAGATTATACTGTGTTTAGACCACTTTAGTTATTTATCTACAGAAAGTGGTGTTTTTGATGTTTACCTTGAGTGGGGAAAAAAACCTAAAAGTACAGCTTAGTAAAATTGAACCCTGGGTCATCTTCATCCAAAGGCTCTCTCCCATGTGATGGGTAGGACCCGCCTGGAGTGGTTGTTCTTGGAGAAGCTCTCAGTAGTTGCAGTTCGTGCAGTGTGAAGAGTGGAGATAGGTAGTAATAGGATCTGAGGTACGATAAATATTGCCACGGAGCTGAAGTGAGACAAGCTGCCTCATATGGCAGTCAGGAATCCGAAGCTGGGCTGTTCCTCCTTAGCAGCAGAGACGCTCTTGTTATCGATGGCTACAGCTTGAACTCGGAAGCTTCCATTAATGCACTTTCTCTCTCTGATCAGCCTTGCAGTGTACACTTTAAACACATGGGCTGATAACTCAGTTTCTGCAGAAGAGGTCAGTTTCCTTCTGCATAAGCTGCTCATGTTCAGGCAATTTGGATATATATTTTGAATTTAACAATGACAGAGGACTGAATTACCTTACTAGTATCTTTGTGGTTTTTTATTATGGTGCTTATAGTAATCTGTTTGCATAAGTGTTTTGAGTTTTTACATATGTATTTAAGAACTCTATTCAGTAGAAAATCAATAGTGTCTGCCTTCATTGCATTAATGCTGAAAACCGTACTTCTGTCAAACTACTCTATACTGTGCTGCTCAGCATTACTAGAATTAACTCTTTAAAAGCGGATTTGAAGTCTGCAATATTGTTGGTTAAGTAGTTTTCATGCTGTTGAGTAGATTTACAGAAATATTGATAGAAAGCCCATTTCAGAAACAAAGAAAGCTTCCTGGAATTAGTGAAGCAAAAAGGAACTCTGAAACCATTTATATTGTATTTTAATAAATCTGTAAGTTTTTGTGAGCAAAGTACAGGATGTGCTTTAAAAGAGCCCTTTAAACACGAATAATATTAGATTCATAAATGCCCTTTCTCCCTGAGCTGCAACTGAACTTTCTCACAGAGGCAGCCTGCATGTATGTGGAACCCCCAAAGGCGCAATGTTGAGAAGTTCATGGTGTCAAAGTTATTTTTAACCTACGCATAATGGAAATTAAAACAAGCTTGGCTAATACAGTTCTATTTTTGTTGTACTCTTGTTTCTTACAGAGAGTTTAAATAATCCACCTAGTAACTTGTCAGGGATAAAGTTTGACAGTCAAAATGCTTCCAGTCCTATTATGTTCTTAATTGGTAAGCTTGTTAGGCATTTACTTATAAGCCATGTTCTTCTAACTGAAAATGCCAGACTTTGACTAGACTGTCAGCTGTTGAAATTGTAAACATGAGGAAGCTACTGTTTTCAAGAGAGAGGGGCAAAACACTATATTAGTTCTGGTTTTGTTTGGTTCCCTGACATGGAAGTTCTTTGTGTTTTTCCCCTTCTCACAGAGACCTGGAATTGAAGGACAAACTGGTTGTGTATTAATAAGAGCTGGCATGGACTAAATACCAAATGAAATGAGTAGTCTACTAGTTTTTATTTAGCTAAAGGAAATGTAGGTTGTATTTCATTGTCACTGAAATCGTAATTTAGAAGAGGACATAAGAGATCATCTAATACTTTCTGTAAGGAATAATTATATCTAAAAAATTCCTGAAAGGCTTGTTTAACCTATTCTTTAAAAAAAAAAAAAAAAAAGTTCTTCCCCCACTGCCAAGAAGATATATATTCTGCATCCCAGGACAGTCTGATTTAGCACCTAATCCTTATCTTTAGAAGGGTTATCTAATGTCCAATTTAAGCCTTCATCTTGTAGTCTAATACTATTGCTTTTTGTCCTGTTTGTTGTGGACAGCATTCTTCAAATATATAAAAGGTAGCTTTAAAGAGAATCTGTTGCATCTTCTGCTTTTTCTGTGGAGAAGAGTCAGCTTCAATTACTTCCATTTTCCTTTTTTTTTTCTTTTTTTCCTGATCTTTTAGGGTCCTTAATTATCTCCACGTTCTCTCCTTTTGTTTCATGTTTTGGAGAGCATTATGCAAAATCATACATAGTGTCTAATCTGAGACTTACCAAAACCAAATAGAGCAGAGGGTTTCTTCATAGAGTTCTAAATAGCCTTTCTCATCTCAGTCTGATTGATGCGACCTGCATCCCCATTTTCTGAAAGCAAGAGTATGTTGTCGAGCTTATCAACTTTCAAAATTATCATTAAATCCTTAATGATCACTGTATAATGCTTATATCTTTGAAAGTATAATTTAAAACTAACACGAGCCAACAGTTACTGTCCTAGTGTTGTACTGCCAATCTACTTCTATGAAGTAACTCAATATTTTCAACCTGTTTCTCTAACTGTAGTTCACAGAAGAAAAGCTTGGCCAAGCAGAGAAGACTGAACTGGATGCTCACCTGGAAAACCTTCTCGGCAAAGCAGAATGCACTAAATTGTGGACAGAAAAAATTATGAAACAGACAGAAGTATTATTGCAGCCAAATCCAAGTAAGAAATGCTTCAGGTTTCTGCTTGCAATTTCTAAATTTTTGCAGGTATAACTGTTTACTGACATAAGAATTTTGTAAGTCATGACTAAATATAACATTTCTAAATCCCTAGTGCTGGTGTTAGGAAAGGCTGGAGGAAGCTCTTGTTCATTTAGTTCAGCAATCCTCTGTATTAGGTATTCACTTTTTCAGAAATTAACAGTCTTCAATCAGGAGGTGGAGGCTAGTAGACCTACATGAGGAAGCTTCAGTAAAGGGATAGTGTATGGTAATATCTACATTGAGCTGACCAGTCAATTTTCTGATGTCTAAAAATACTCAGTGTTAAGTGGTGATCTTCATCTGTGAATGTAACTTCCATGGCTTCGCAGTCTGCTAGGGAGGACGGTCACCTGTTCCAGAGAACTTCTTTTGGTTGTAGTTAGTGGAACAACCTGTCTGGGAGAGACAGAAGAGGCTTCCAGTCCAAATTTTAGTAGTATCTTTAGGTTAGACCCATGCAATAGTCCAGTAATTTTAGATGACTTTTTTGGATCTTATGAGGCTTAGTCCACCCACAATAAAATTATGGCCAGAGTAAAGAAAAATGTGAAGTTGAATCCCTCTTGGTTCGTGCTTGCTGCTAGAAAGTGAACTGACAACTGTGTTTTTTCTGTTTTAGACTAACTTTTGGGACATTGACAAGGAAATTGTTATTTAATCCATCATCAGTGAAAGTTATCTGTTTAACACTATGTTTTAGTTTCATCAAAGTGGGGGATTTGTTCATTAGAGGACAACGTTGTGGATTGCCTGTGTTAGTGCGTGCTGAATCTAGTTCATAGTAACTGCGTGGATGAAGTGAGCTAATTATGAAGTCAAAACAGAGAAATCAGGTTTTGTATATGAGAAGTTTAAGATACTGTAAATGGCAGTGTTTTTGTTAATGCCTGTAGAGTCTTTTTTGCCTGAAGAACATATTGTGGCTCAACATCTAAAAGCACCTGAACATAGTATGACAAACATCTAATATGGTCAGTCCCCAAGAGAGGTATTTTCTCTCTTGGGAAAATAACAATATTAAGTTACTTAAGCCTAAATATCTGGATTTTTGAAAATTACTTTCTTTCTTCTTACATTTGTAAATTGTACTTTGAATAGCAGTAATTCAATGCTTTTTTTTTTTTCTCCCCTCTCTCCAGATGCTAGGATAGAAGAATTTGTCTATGAGAAGTTGGACCGCAAAGCACCGAGTCGTCTGAATAATCCAGAGCTACTAGGCCAGTATATGATTGATGCAGGGAATGAATTTGGACCAGGGACAGCCTATGGTAAGTGGAAACAAAGAATGTGACTTATGTGTTGCAGAAATGGGAGGGGGAAAATGCACAGATACTTTTTTTGTTAGCAATGTGAAGTGGCATTTCTTGCCTTCCTTTAGATAATTCCACAGTGCTTTTATTTTTAACGTTTTGAGATGAGTTGTATCTCTTTGAACATTAAGAGCTCAGTAGTGAGATTTCTATCATAACCTAAGGATTACGGAAGATAGGAATTGGTATTGGTGAAATAACTGTCTCTGGATTGATGACATTCTCATCTGAACAAATAATTCTAGAATTTGGTTTTCTGATTAGAATGGAACACACTTTCATTTTGTTGTAGCGCATTAGACAGTGTTTATGTATGCTATAGATGATGAGCAGTAGAAACTAGTTTCTTCAGTAAGACGTTTCTTTAACTTGACAATATTTGTGGTTTTCTAAATATCCATTATTTTGCTGTCAATGAGAGTGTGTGTGTGTGTGCGTGTGGAATATCACCTCAATTTTTCTCCCTTCTTCACCAATACCTATGAAAGGGTGGGTGATGTTGAATATAATGTTTTTCCAATGCCTTTTGATGGTGTGCTTTATACATATTTAACTATATAATAATATGGTTATAAATTATAATGTGTTTTTTCTCTGTAACTCTTAACAGTTCAATCTATTATCACCAATTTTAATTAGCGTAAATTACTGGAATGCATAGTTGTTGTGCAGCCTGCAGTCGTAAACCCTGACAGCTCAGTTGCTTGTCTCAGGGTTATAGCAGGAGGCAAGTTCTTGTTCTTAGAAGGATCAGTTCTTTATATGTGGAAATAATGAGGTTCCCTTCCTAAGGAAGAAAACTATAGTTAAAAAAAAAAAAAAGAACTCATATGTTTTATAGAAGGTTTATGGGTACAAAGTCAATGATATTTATTCCTTTAACGGCATAAAAATGTGAAATTATATGTGGTTCTTTTTTGATCATCAGACCCATGATTTTTTTCTGTTTGTTTTAATCAAATAGAATTGAAGCTACAGGCAGACAGTCCTTTAGCTTGCATTTGCTGCAGTTCTTTTAACTGGGGTCAAGTTGCATGAACCATTAGCGTAAAGTTACTCTGTAACCTTTCAAGTGGTGTCACAAAGTGCTTTTAGTGTTCAGAAAAGCTTGTGAGTGTCTCTTGTAACTCAGACTTCTCAGTTTATTGAAATTTATATTTTTGTTGAAATCTAGCCTTTAGCTGTTTTTTTAATTGCAATTATTTAAAAAAAAAGGCTAATGAAAAGAAAATTAGTAACTGATTGAGACTTCTTTTGATGACTACTGTGGCACTAGATTGTCTTTCAAGCTGCTGACCTAGACTCTTGTACCTGTACATCTTTTTTTGTTGCTGTTTTCATTTGCTTTAAAAGAAAAAACAAAAAAAGCACCTGCCTGGGTTGCTGTGAAATTTGCATATATTTTCCTTTGCAGGAAATGCACTCATTAAATGTGGAGAAACACAAAAGAGAATTGGGACAGCAGACAGAGAATTAATTCAAACTTCTGCTATAAATTTTCTCACTCCCCTGAGAAATTTTATTGAAGGAGACTACAAAACTATTACTGTAAGTAGAAGTGAACTTTTTTTTTGTCATTTCACAGTAGTACTAAATCTAAGTTTTTTAGATCAAGTGATAGATAGTTGTACATTGTTTTATTTAAAATAATGTAGAAAATCAGTTGGAATTTGTACTGTTGGTTTATATTCTCTTCATTTGACCAGGTAAAATAAATTATTTGAAAACTTACTTTTTGTAATTAATGTGCTCTTAAAAATACTTACCTTGAGTATAGAAAGCCTAAGAATTAGTATTTAACTCTGCCTCAGTTCAAGAAGGCTTTTTGTGTGTGGATTTTTTTTTTATTTAAAAAAATGCCAAGTAGGCAGGATTTTGCTTTCACTATTTCTTTTCTCCTAAACTAACCTAACTCATTTACAGAAAGAACGTAAGCTATTACAAAATAAACGTCTAGATTTGGATGCAGCAAAAACCAGATTGAAGAAGGCCAAAGTTGCAGAAGCCCGAGCTGCAGTAAGTAAAGTCTTTTGATGTTGGAGTGTGTGTGTGTTTTTGTTTGTTTGTTTACCTCGTTAGTCACTTTCAAGTTTATTTTATTTACTTATAAACTTGACTGGTTGCTTAGGCTTCCACGCAGCTTCTTTGCCATGCTATTTTCACATAACCAATTGGGACAGGACTCTTAATTTCATATATCTTAACCGTTCTTGTTCTCTCAGTGCTTTTTCAAGGAAATTGAAATGTTAATGAAAGCAAAATGCTGCTGCTTTTGAAACTCTTTAAATTCTCTTTAAAGTGGAGAGAAGATCAAGTGTATATAACTTCAGTGGTGCGTATGCTTGTAGTGTTTTTATAGCTACCTGTAGACTGTTTTCCTAAAACATCAGCAGTTAGGGAGATGATGGATAATCCTCTCAAAAAAGTTGCTTAATTTATGAAACTAACACTAGTGGAGCAGAGTATTAGCCAGCAGTGGTGTTTGGAAACATTGGAGAGAGAGGCCAAGGAAAGACCATGTCTTTACTTAGACATGTTCAATGTTAAGTTCTGAAGTTCTAAAGAGAAGGAGGTGTTCTGGTTATTAGCTTCCTGGTGCTGTGGTGGCAGTTATATGCTTCCTAAAGTATTAGAAAGACCACTAAGCTTATCATTAAAAGGAAGGCTCTGCACTCTGGTTTGTTACTTCCATCACCAGTGTAAAATCTTAGTCATCTGGAGCTGGATGCTCTGACACATTGCTCCCAATTGCTGCTGCTATTACATACATGTTGATGTATGTAGACATATGTTTACATATATGTCTATGTGAATATTCATGCAACAACAATTTTATAGTTTTGTTTAAAATAGCTCAAAAATACTTCAGTGCTGATAAAACATGAAACCCCAGATCTTTTGTGTCGCTTAAAAATGCTTCAGTTGCATTTTTAATGGCAGTGTGGTGGTTTGACATTTAGAAATGCTGCAGTTTCTAGCCTTGAGACTCAGGGAAAAAAACTCTGCACTGTACAAGAAGGGAGGACTTTAATGGTAACAGGTGTGATACAAATGGCTGACCTTCTACTGAATCACTAATTTATAGGAAGATGTCTGACAGAACTTGCTGAACTAATGGTTTAGCAACCAGGATGCACATTCTTCCAAGTTTCACTGCTCTGACATCCTGGAATAAAGTGATAGATAGTATCTATGTTTCTTTTTTTTTTTTGTGTTGTAGAAGTGCTTTAGATTTGAGGAAAAAACATCTTCCCGTACTTATTGCACAAATGAACTAGTTTAGATCAGTATTTAAAATAAACTGTTCAGATTTCTGTATTGAGTTCACAGTTCTGAATAGCTTAAACTTGCCTTGTTTTGTGTCAATAACCTATTTGCTTGCTATGTTCACAGTATAACTTGGTTTTGTCTTTATCTATGCACTTAAGCAACTAAACACCTCTCAACCTGAAGAGAATAACATTATGGTAAATGTCTCTTACATGCTCAACTTGCTGCATGTAAAATGGCTAAAGGTTTGTTGGCCTTCTGTGTTCATTCATTTCCTTCCTAAGTGTTTCCTCTTGCTATCCAGATTGCATAGTCCTGTTTAAGATGTTTTCCAAGAACAAATGAGCTGGTTTGTTGCAACTTCCTACTGCAGCCTTTATGCACATTTCTTCCTACCTAAGTACCGACTGTGTCATCAGCAACTTAAAAGTGCTGGAATATGGAAGTCAAAGAACTGCATTGCAAGGGGGAACTGGGACGGCAAGCTACACTATCTTCTAGATTCATTTCCTTGCATTTTTTTTTTATTTAGCCTGCTATTCCTTCAAAACTGAGTTTGAGACATCTCTACAGCGTAAATAATAAATTCAGATTAGTGAAGATTGTTGTGGAAGAAGAAACTAAGTGGAATTAGCAAGAGAAATCACTCATTTGTCTGTTTCAGTCATTCTTTAACCTAGTGTTGAAACAAGAATATCTCTTCGTAGTTTTCCAGTATTCTAATACATTAAGATAACTTAGTTTAATTCACAATTTAACTTATTCTGTCTGGTTCATGTCATTTTCCAAGTAATTGTGTTTGTAATGGCTTGTTTTATATATCATATTTTATAAGAATCTAAGTTCAACAAGTCATACCCTCTTCCATATCTACTTGGTTTCACACATGCAGTACTCAGCATACTGGCTTCAGTCTCATTGTATATGAGGGGCTTTGGACAACTGACTCATTCATAACAATCCTCAAATTTCTTTGAGGTCCTAAAGAAAGATAGGGAAGTATTCAAAAGCTAAAGTATAGTTGCATCTTATATTAAAGCACCACAACTCTCTTCTAAGTGTGTATTTTTTTTTTATCTTTCCCCTCCCCCTGCTTCATGCTTCACTTTTAACGCTGGCTAGATATGGGCTGAGGAGGTGACAAAAGTAAGTAAACAGTTTAGACACTGCAACATTCAGAAACAATAACTTGTGCTGGTGTCATGTGATAAAGGATTTTGCACGTTACTGATCTCAGTGTAGTGATGGACATCTGATGTGTTACATGAGAGTCTGCTGCTTTTCTCCAGGGACTTTCAAATTCCAGGGGCAATACAAAGTCCATGGCTTGTTTTCTTAGTAATGTGATTTTCATTTGGCAAGATGTAATAGAGAAAAAACTACAGAGGTTAGTTACTGGTCTGGTAGGCTATTAAGAAAAATAAACTAGCAATGAGCTTTTCAGAATTTTTCAGAAATGTTAATGTCTAATACTCTAACGTGTTCTAAAGAATACTGATGTGACACTAGGTAGACTAGTCTGAACTGTACCTGGGATTATAGGTGTAGTATTAGCCTGACAGGGACAGAGAACGAGATTGAGATCTGCAAAAATTCGAATTTGAGGAGATGCAGGATCTGTCGTCATGGCTTTCAGCCTATCCAGGAATCTCTACATCAATTACCATCCTTTTGAGATAGTATTTTTGTGCTGTTAAACTTCCTTTAGATTAACTTCCCTGCTGAAATGTGTAGTTGGGGTGTATGAAATAACTGTGCTATGAACCACACTGGGTGAGTACTCATGTCCTACACTTTGGACACCTGAGTTTTGTTACGAATCTTTCCCAGTGTCTAGTGTAGTCAAGGAAAAAGAGCAGAGGTTTTAGCACCTTGAAGCTAAGCTGTGGTTGAGCATCAAGAGGGTCTCTCAGCCATCCTTGGCTATAGAGGAGACAAGGAATGCTAGCCGTACTGGGGAGTGTCATTTTAGTAATAGTCTCATTAATGCAACAAGGTTAAGAAGGTGATTGTGTTATCTTGTGTTCTTATGGTTGTATGCTTCTTAGCTACACGCTTGCACAGTATTTCCAAGGATCATTCATATAGATACTTATGTATATTCATAATCTGAATTTGGGGAGTTTCTGTACTTCTGAATTTTCATGTTAAGATCCCAAATTCTTATTTTAAACCTGAGGAGCAAACTATTTTGGGGGATCTTCATGAGAGATATCCAGTGATGCCTTCTAAATGTTGTTTAAAAAAACGAAATACGACAGCAGCTGAAGGCAGCAGGAAGGTTTAGGCTTGTGCTTTGTGACCCACGTGTATTCTCTCCGCCCCCTCCCCCCACCTCTTCTTTTAATTCAGAGACAGAAGGATTTGATCAAAAGGTTCTCAGACTGAAAAAATCAGCTGTTTTCAGTCTTAACAACAATGCATAGAATAGACATGCTGCACTGTTACTTTTCACCTGTCAGCTGTGGAAGACAGGGATGAGCAAAATAGATTAAGCATCCTATCACATACTTATATTAGCTTTGTAGAGACTTCCATAAATCTATCTGGGCCCTTTAAAGCATGATTCCATTTAAAGTTACTCTGCGAACTATCTTAATGCATGTTACCAGTTCAGTAATTTTGCTTTTTTATTTTATTTATTTAATTATTTTTTTAGAAAGTAGTTATTTTGCTAATATATTGTTGAAACAAATAGAATTATTCTGATGCAGATTTTCCCTTCTTATATTTTTCTATTCCCATGTTCTTCCTTATCTGGCAGGAAGAAAAATATACTTTAGTAACTGCTGTTTTCAGGGAAGCAAGAGACTAGATTATTTATTTCCAGATAAATGGCTAACTGTTTTACCTATTAATTTGCTTTCCTTGTAAAGGAATTGAAGTAGGTGGTAGAGAAAGGAATGCTTTTCTTTCCCTCTTGGGTATCAGACTTCCTTTTATTACCCTGCCTGTTATTACACTCTTCTAAGGGCCTGCCAGATGGATTTCACTGATAAATCAAAAATTTAAAGATTTAATAGCAAAATTTCAAGCAAATATTCTTGCTTCAACAAAAGCTTGGAAAACTTAATTAGTCTATAGCTTGATATATATGCTGCTATCTCAGTTTTAAATAAGGAACATACAGGGCCCTATAGTTGCTTCCTCACTGTCTCAAATTAATGTGTAAACCCTGACAGCTGCAGTGACTGCAGCACTACTTAAGTATTTGCATCTTTCTTCTGTACTTATTTGTGAGATTAGATCCTTCTGTGTTCCTCACATCTTTTCATGTTGATCAGTACAAATGTTGTGCAAGAGTATAATGTTTGCAACCACATAAAATCCTTTTGCAATTAATGTTGTCTCATTAGGTTCTCTCAAAATACATTTCTGTACCTCTGCGTGTTAAGAACAGTAACTGCTGCTTCTCAGGCTTAATGTAGAGTTTTGCTTTTGGATTCGTTTTTTTAGAAAGATGGTACTAAATGTATATAAGCACTTAGGCAAAGTAATCTGGCTTCCAGGGTTCAGGTAGTTTCATCTTGAAACAGTAAATCTTAGGCAAAACACCATATATGTGTGTGTGTGTGTGTATGTATGTATATTTTAATGTATTTGTGCGTTTTGACTAGTTTAACTTTTTCCAAAACACCATTCAGACTAACTTAGATTTTTTCTAGTTGAAGCTGTTTAAACTGCTTATAATACTATTTGATTTATTTGAAAATTGTTGATATCTGTAAGTAATAAGGGATGAATTTTGGTGTACAATTATTTATATATCAAATTTAAACCAAATCATTCTTACAGAAATTGTACTTCTAACTGGAATTAGAACATTTTCTATGGTTTGTTACATTTATTTTTAAAGATGCCTCAATTCCAAACTTCAGAAATAATTGTTGTAGCTTGGCAGCTAGTATGAAATAGTAATCAGTAAAATATTCTGCTGAAATTCACTGTCAAAGTTTTACATATGGCTGATTGCTTTGCATTTGCCTGGCAAAAATAATGCCAGATTTACACTCAGTTCTGTGAGCCTCTGAGAGCCCTTTTAACTTCAAGTATGGGAAAAAATTACATTGTCGTTTGCTGGCCCAGCTCGGCTGGTACAGACACTGTGAGATGCCCATGACCTTGGTTTGCTGTGCAGAGGTGGGGTAGCATTGCTGGCGGAAAATGCCTTCCCTTGGGATACGCTGCATCTACGTGGTAGAGGCCTGCTGATGTAGCTGTCTGTGCAGGCAGGCCAAAGGCTGCTCTTTGCTTTGTGCAGTAGTTCAGACCTGCAAAGAAAAAGCACAGGATTTAAACATGTGATGAGCTGCGGTTGTCTGACTAGCACTGAATGCAGTGGGGCTGTTGCGGTGGGAAGGTGCTGTGCATGGTGCATTGTACCAACATCTAAGTGCGTGCTTACTTTTAGTCTGAACAGGAAGTACGAATTACTCAGAGTGAATTCGACCGCCAAGCAGAGATTACCAGACTCCTGCTGGAAGGAATCAGCAGCACCCATGTGAGTACCCAAACTGGGGTAGCGGGGCGGGAGCAGCCAAAATCAGGGCACTGCAATAACTAGAGTAAGCTGCTTGGGAGCTTTGGCCTACTGGCTTTCATGTTAATGCCTTAGAGTATCAAGCAACTCTGTTTATTTTTGCATTATAGTTTATTATCTTCAGAGTTTACCTTTAGGTCCTCTATTAATTCTGAGAACTCAAGGATTTTCGTTTTTATGATTTAAACTCAGCTTTCCACTGCAAGTTGAAACCACAGAAAAGTGCTAAAATATTTATTCCATAAATATGCAGGTAAATAATGATATGATGCCTGTACAGCCTGTACTTACCTGAGGGGCTTGATGCGTTGCATCTGTGACACTTTATCCCAGTTACCTGGTACATCCAGACACCATTCCTGCATGGCATAAATTCCTTCACACCGATGTTGTCATTATCAGCCCATTAGGAAACCAGTCTTTCTAATGCAGTGTAACACTTTTCCATACTAAAAATGTAAATTGTTTCCTATATTGTAGGCACATCATCTTCGCTGTCTGAATGATTTTGTTGAAGCTCAGATGACCTATTATGCACAATGTTACCAGTATATGCTGGATCTCCAGAAACAACTCGGAAGGTAGTGATGCTGCAAAAACCTTTCTAGTTAATAGAAAGTGATAGAAAGTAGATATGTTTTAGTGTAATTACTCTAGAATTACCCTTGTGTCTACTTTCTTAAGCCTGTTGATGGGTCTAGTGCCTTTTGAGGGTAGATTCAGTGAGATTTTGCTTATTTTGTAATTGAGGATGGAGAGACATCAAACCTCATTTGGCACAAAAATGAATTTTTACAGTTTTGTTTGTAGTTGTTTAGTTCTGCAATACTTCATCCTGGAAAACTGCAGTACAGTGTGGGAAAAGTTGTTGTTGTGCCTGTAAATTCATGTTGCTTTTTAATTTGACACTGCCCAATTTGAAAATGCAAGTGCATTTTCTACTCTGTGAGTTGCTAGCATATATAATACACTTGGGGAGAAATGTACTTCACGATGTGGGAAATCAGTAATCCAAAGGAGTGGAAGCATTGGTATGGATAAGCTTACCTAGTTTTCTGGTTATCTAGTTTTGCTGTTTAGTGGCTGTACTAGTTTTTAAAGTAAGAGTATAAACTGTCAAACACATGAATCTGTGCTCTTAATCCTTTCTTTGCTGTTTGTTATGATGTAAACAGATTTAAATGCTTACTTCTCATATTTTCCCTATTCAAATTCTCCTTTACCAGTTAGAGTCTTTCTAAAGGTTATTCCAGACCATGTTGTTCAGGTGAGCAGGTGTTTTGAAAAAGTGCCTGTGCCGAGAAGTTTGCTGTTACAGCTGTTCTAAATAACTGTGTCTAAAGTGCCTCTACTTTTTTTTTTTTTTTTCTTTCCCCTCCATGAAGAGGAAGTAAAAACAAAACTGTTCTTGAGTCTTATGCTTGTACTGATTTGCTACTTCCTGTGACATTTGATCTCCTTTCCTTAGTTTGTTTAAACGGATAAATACTTTTCCAAAAAGACTCTTTGGAAAAAGTTTATCTAAGAAGTCTTTAAAAGTATTCTTTTTTTCTGAAAAAACTACATCTTTAATGCTGCATTCTGCTGAAAAACATACACAGCTATCAAATTAGATAGCACATAAATGCAAATAGTGAATCGAAAGCTTGGGAACGAACATTTACTGGAGTAAGGGCAATAACTAAGTGAAGTATATATGTTATATACATGACTATTTTGAGATGAGGGGACTTTTACATTCTTATTCTAATTTACTTATCAAAGAAAAGGTTAAGCATAATAGCTTTAGCCTTAAAAAAATAGTATTTCTCTTTAGATACCTCTTATTTTAGGATATAGGATATATAGTATGTCTAGAACAGCTGTCTTTGTTGCATGTAAATTGCTAATAAGTGCAAAATGTGTATTTGAAGAAAATCCTACTTTTAGGAAAACAGAAAGATACATCTTTATGTGGCTACTCTCTAATTAGTATTTCTGATAAAATTATTATGACTGCTACAAGACCAAAAGCACGGAAACTTTTCAAACTCCCCAGTGCCCCAATCAGCTGAACGGAGTTTCTCTACCTACATAGATTGTGTAACACCGGTGGTGGTGGTGAATCTGGTGGTGAGCCTGTCTTTCCTGCCTTCCTGGAGCAAGGAAGTTGCGCTGAACTATTGAAGGGGAGCACTGGGGCAGGGTCTCAAGGTGTGCTCCTGCCTTTGGGAGAGTTTCTCAGTTTATAGGCATGTGCTGCATAGCATGCTATAGCATGCTGTACATAGGCAGATGTAGCCACCAAATACATAGTGTAGGCAGCTCACCTGGTTATATTTGCCAGCACTTGTTCAGAAAGTGGCTTACAGTGCTGTGTTACACGTGCTCTTTTCATGCATCATGAATGTGCTGTCTTCTCATACGAAAGCCAGGAGGAATGCGGGATTTATTTTCAGATTTTTAGTGACCCCAAAGTATGCAAGCTCTTCCTGGGATAGTTTGTTGCTTGAAACAGAAACCAGGTTCTTGGAGTAGATGCACGTTACATATTACCTCAGTCAGAACCTAAGGATTGAACCTTAACCCAGTTCATGCTGAGACTGTTCAAGCCTCAGCGCTGGTGCTGTTGATGTACTCTGCAGACTCAGCTGTATCACAAGGTAGTGGAAACTTGTGCTCAGTTCTCTTTATATAAATAGACATGATTTTATGGATTTTTTTTTTTCAAAACAGCACCAGCTGCTCCTCCCTCTATTGCTTCCCCCTTTCTGTGGGGTTGCCTAAAAAATCTGATGTCCCGTGTTAAAAGCAATTTCTTCGCTTTTTTTTTTCCTCCCCAGAATGAACTAAACAAATCTATTTCAAAGATCCTGGTTCTGTGGCTTTTTTTTTTTTCTTGCTGATAGCAGCTTTTGCTGTGAATATTCACAGCTTCTTTGCTAGCCAAGCCTAAGTTTTGGCAACATTCAGTTTTCAACCTAGTCCATTACTAGTCCCCTTCTCCACAAGCTGTGAAACTCTTTACCACTGAAGTGTTTAAAAAAAAAAATCCAAGAAAGTGTCTATCTAGCTGAAGATTTTCAGTAATGTGCCTACATATGGCAATTTAGCAGTATTCAGAAACAGCTGATTGTCATTGAAAATGGATTTCCTCTGCTTGAATGCCAGCTGTTAATGTAATAAATATATCCTAGGGCAGGGCTGAGTGTCCTTACTGAAGTGCAGAAGTCTTGCTCTTCTGTAGAGGTGTTTTGCTCAGGGGAATTGGTGAGCTGTTTCAAAAAATTAATCTGGCCACTAAATGAAACTTTTCTGTTTTGTTTTGCTGGGGATGCTTTCTCTTCTGTGTGAGTTGAACAAGCTCTTTTTGATCAAACAAGGCCAAGGTGAGCCAAAGAGGAAAGTGGGACTTCATCCTTTTGACAATAGTAAACTTGCTAATTAAACTCACAACAGTCTCCTGAAACTGTATCCAAATTCAGTCTAACTGTAAAGGGGATATTTCAGTCCCTCGCACTGTACTCCTGCTGTTTCCCTTTAGACAGCTATGACAGTTACATGGCTGCAAGGTGAGTATGTTCAACCATTCTGATGGAAAGTTAGGAATCTTGATAATTTTTGTTGGAGCAGATTGTTGAATCAATGCATAAGCAACTGCATTGCTATGGCTGACTTAAATCACAGAAAAGGAGCATTTCTGCAATAAGTGGAGAGAGAGGACCATCCTATTTAGAGGCTATGTAAGATTAGATATAGTGTGAAACTGTAAACTTAAACTGCAGCAGTACTGCACACTATCTAGATTGGGGCTGGCTCAGGGCCGCCTCTGTTCGTGGCCATGTAATCCAAAATGTAGTCACTGATAGATAGAGTTTTCACCTGTATCAGCTCTCTAATGCAGCTCATCTGATGACTGTATGAGCAGACGTGGGTGTGGGAATACACTGATCTTGATTAATGTGGTTGAAGTTGCCATAGAAGTGCATCTTCAGGAAGAATTTAACTGGGAAGGGTAGGTGGGAAGAGATGAGATGAAACTGTGCTTTCTGATGGGCTCAGATATACAAAATGAATAGATTGTCATTTTGATAAAAGAAAAAAAAAACAGGAATGTGTCATGCCCACATCCAGAATGTTAAATCTGTGTAGAAGGACTGGCGGGGAAAGTAATGGGTGGGAATCACAGTAGTATTGACTGAATAGTTGATGTGTGGATCGCTCAGAAATAGAATGTGAAGAAGTAAAGGTGCAGCTGCACACCATCCTGGCTCGGCCAGCTCCTGGCTACTAACACCTTTTTTTCTGCATCAACTTTGCCAAGCCAGCTCCTGGCTACTAACCCTCACCTTTTTTTCTGCATCAACTTTGCCACTTCTCAAACCCTTCACTGACCTACTTTTAAGGTAGCGTCAGGTGAGTGTTGATACAAAGTGAGGCAGCAAGAGGCAAAGCATGGTTGCATCAACTGCTAAATCAGTTAGTTTAAACTGCCTTGGAACAGCATCCCAGGATACAAATCAAAGTTACAGGGATGCAATCTCACAGCTTATTGTTGCTCCTCCATCCCTCAAAAGAAATCTCTTCCTCGCTTTCCCTTGTGCTCCTTCCACTTTTCAGATGTGTGTTTTTGTCTTTTCCCTTGTATCTGCTCTGGCATTTATCACATTCCCTCCTTTTTCAGCTCACCAATTTAGTAGGTGATTATACACTTTTTTTATTGAATTAGTTTTCAGCCAGGTAAATGGAATTGACTTTATGGAAGGGTCTGGCTAGTACTAAAGCTGGCACAGAACAAGCAGCAGTCTGATCTAGAAAGGAGGGACTTGCCTGAGTTAAGTTCATCTTTAGTGAAACAAATATTTTTATCTTGCAGCTTGCAGCAAGCTAAATTGACAAACCGATTTGGGTTATAAAAAATTTACTGTGGATTACTGCTTTCTTTGCAGAAAGAGGGTGTGTTTTTTAACCTGCATTATTTCCCTGAACTGGTTCACCAGCACAATCTTTTGTGTAGCCACATAATTGAGGAATGAGCAACAGGGGGTGGAGGCTACTTTTACTGGCAGAGCTGCCAAAAGAAATGTTTATTAAACTACTGAATTGAGTCTAACCAACAATGCTTTTCTTTATTTCTGTCAAGAGGCAAATATCAAGTTTTATAAGGAGGCAATCTTCTCTGTAAAGTATATTTGTTTGGTTTATCCTACAGGTTTAGAGAAAGTATCCTTTTTTAGGTTTATAAAAGCATTAGTGCTCTGCTGCTGCTGTCTACTTGTGCTTATTCTATAATTGATAAGAAAAGCAAGAATTCAAATTTAGGCATGGAGGCGTGTATGACTTTCTTGTAGAACTGATTGACCCAGTAGTCAGTTTGTTTTGTTTTCCTTCCTCCGCAGCTTTCCATCTACCTTCCTCTCTAACAATAACCAGTCTTCCTCAGCCCCTGTGCCAAACGTTTCTGCCCCCTCCGTCTTGGCCTCGGCCTCTGCTTCGCTGCCTTCCGTGAGCAATTCTGTAGTTACTTCAGGCTTCAGTGAGCTGAAGTCCTTGAGCGGCAGCAGGAAGGCAAGAGTTCTCTACGATTACGATGCTGCCAACAGCAGTGAGTTATCACTACTTGCAGATGAGGTAAGAGTTTTCTAAGTACTTTGATCGTTTAAGAGTAAAATCAGAATGCTTGTGGCTAACCAATAAAGATGTGCTGCTTCCATAAATGTGTGTAGCTGCCTTTTTTTTAAAACTTCACTAGTAGTCTGATTCAGAAGCTCAAATTGTTTTGTACCTGTTTATTTTAATATTCTTTAGTGAGAGCTAACTATTTTAATGCCTGCATAGCTTGCAATAATATTTGCTAGACAATCCAGGCACAATTCCCACTGTCTTCCTTTTACTACATCCTGTCATTGAAAAGCCCTAGTGTCCCACCCAACAAGATCCATCCTTCTATCGTGCCCTTGAAGATCCAAGGAACTTGCTTTGTGGTTTGTTAAAGTTGATAGTGATATACTATATCTATATGTGTATAAAATCTAATAGGAAAAAAAAAGGCAATTAACCGATTTCATGTAAAAAGGGCTTTTTTCAAGAGAGATTTCAAACTATGCTACTATATCTGCTTTTCAATGAATCAGTGGAGAAATTGTTATGAACGCTAGTTTATTTTTGATTAATGTCTATATAAAATGTTCTATTTAAATTGATTAATCTCAGTTCTAAGGTCCTGTAAATCACATGAAGGCAGAGTGCAACATTTCCAGGCAGTGGCAATGTTCTAATAATCTGTTTCTGTTTTTTAGGTGATTACAGTGTACAGTATCCCTGGCATGGATTCAGACTGGCTGATGGGTGAAAGGGGAAATCAGAAAGGCAAAGTGCCTATTACTTATTTAGAACTGCTAAACTAAATGGCTGGTTTGAATAAAGACTGTCAATTATGGTGACAACATATTTATATAAAATTAACGTAATGTAAGCAGGTTTAAGTGTCTTCCATGTTACTGTCTTAAGGGACAAATACCAGCCATTACAAACTGGCTTTTCTGCCAGCATGGTTGCATGGTAAATACTCTATTCAGACTTAATGTGTTTAAAGCTTTTACTTCATGTGCCAAGAACATGTTTCCTACAGTTTTGTTTCTACTGAAGTTTTCACTAATATAAGCTTCTACTTTTGAGTAATCTAGATTGAAAGCAGGAGGTACTGTTTTCTACTGAATTTTTTCATTAATGGCAAGCTTTTCTTCGCATAAAATAAACTTATTGTGAATTGATGTAGGTGTAATGCACATTATTTGAATAATCAAGGAAGTCTTTATGGTTTGTAGTCCAATATATGTGGAATACAGATGTGCTGAGATATGTATGGCTGTCCACTGGGTAGTTTGTGCATTTAATTACATTTTAAAAATGGAAACAGTTGCTCCCCTCTGAAAATCTAAGGGGAATTCCTCATATGTTGAGATTTTAGCATGTGTATAAGTGGATTGAAACAAGTTAGCTAAGTAAGTATTGTTTTTTTTTTTTAAATCCTGTCTTCCATTTGTATCCTTTAATTGCTTTCCAGAAAGGAGGCTAATTCACTCTGATTGGTAACTGTTAAATCTTTCAATTGCAAAGCATATAGCCTTGATGTTGAAGACCCACCATTTTTTTCTAGCCAGATATGAACTGTGTCTCTGTATTCAAGTAGTTCTGTAGAATAACATACATTTATTCAGATTACAGATTTTAATGAAAATTCGCATTCAAAATTCTTATGCAGTTGCTTGTTTTTTGTCATCTTATAATTGGATTCAATTATTATTGCACATTTCTTTATTGGGGCAGGACTGTCCCCAACACCACCCTCCCTCCCCAAAATACGCAGGAAGAAAACAAACATGAATTAATCCTAAAAATTACTTTTACAACTAACGTAACTTTTTTTTTCTTTTTTCTCCCTGTCATTGCAGCCACTAACATTTCAGGAGTGGCAGGGTTTGTTTGTTTGTTTGTTTTTCCTCTGCACAAGAATAACAATGATAGATTAAGGGGATTTTTTTTTGAGGGTCCAGTAAACTTAATTCATGCAATTGGACTGGTTCAATAAACAGAATTGGGAAGGAAATCATTCTTGCAGAACATGCAACATTTACAGAAGTCTATTTGGACTCTGCAACGGACACCGGCACTAGCTGCTTAGTTAACTGCTTCTGACCAACAATTGAAGGTTCTTTATCATTGCAAATGTATGTTGCTGAAGCCTTCTGTGATAAAAATTACTTAAGTGATTTTTTTAAAAAGTTTTTATTTAAGTCTTCTGGATTTTTAATCTTTTAAATCAGTTCATCTGTTGCAGCCTTCTCATGGCAACTACCAAGAAAATCCTGAATGTATTGAGTCTCTCAATTGAAAAGACTAGAGGACACCTCAGTAATAATTCCTTATGAATTGGAATTCATCATGACTAATTCATAATGCATTAAAATGTGTAAGAAGACATAGTCCTACAATGATGGGGAGAAAAACAGGGGAGAAAACAGGGAGAAAAACAAACAAACAAAAACACACCAATAACTTCACCACAAGGAAAGTCACCTCCGTGGCTTTCTCCTACAGTCGTCTTTACTTCAAGGTGAATGTCCTCAAATGTGCTTAAATTCAAATCAATATTCATTTGACTTGATTTATCCTCATAGAATATGTAAGACTACATATCTCAAATAATGCAAAAATCTAATTGACTCTTTGCTAAACTGAATCATTTGTTTCCTGTTAAAATGCTATGACATGTTAAAGAGCAACATTGAAAAAGTTAGAAGGGTTTTAGTGAAATAAAATACTACAGCTGTATGAAAACAGCATTTAGCAGCAGTCAGAAGTATTAGATTTGATATGTCAGTAGCTTAAGCTATGTGTGAGAGGAATTGCAAGACTTTTAGTCCAGCAAAACTATAAATTGGTATTTTCAAGTATGTTTCTCTTTAAACCAAAAACAAATTTCCACTAATTAAAAGGGTGTTACTGCTGTGCTAACTCGCTGTTCCTCGGGGTTCTTTGTTGTACCATTGAGAAGGGAACCTGGCAGAAACAGGCTCGTTTAACCCTAGCTATTAAGTGGGAGAGAATTTTTTGCAGAAAACTCAGCCTCTTTGGATGTCATTTTGTGGAAAAATTTCAAACTTAAATTTAAATTGGAGTTCTTCAGTTTGCCTTTCAACATCTTATGCACAACGATGTAAGTATCTCCAGCTGGCTATTGGTCTGTCACTTCTTGATTCTCCCTTTCTTAATTCCCTGTTTTCTTTGGAATAAGATTTATTTTGGAGGGGAAAAAAGATAAAATAGCCCACCAAAAAGCACTACGGATGTTGCAGACATTTGGGAAATTAAATATCGCACTTGGAATAGAAGTGAAAAATATGCATTAGCTTATATTTAATAATTGTTCTGGCAGAAGAACTGTATTCTGAACTTTTACTTAAGGATGAGTACGTGTGGGGATAAACACTTTCCATTGCTCTTCAGTGCATACCTTTTTTCCCTCCCATATTTACAGGCCTTTTACTACTTTATTCTAATTAATGCTAAGAGCTTGGAAAATTTCAACCAGGATAGCCATCCCCTATATACTCTGTAACAAAATTGAGTGAATTCTCAACGAAGTTTATGAGGTTTTGTGGCAGATGGGATAATACGCTGCACTATCATTAATAAAGTAAGTGAAAGCTTTCAGAAAGCTAAACACTACCATTATTTCTACCATAATTGCTGTTTTTCTGCTTTCATAATCAGATCAAGTTCGAAAAGTAACCCCTGTGGATTCTTAACCAGAAATGCTGGTCTGGACTTCTGGCAAACTGTAAATGCTCTGTTGAAATAGAGCTTGGGGGAGTGACTTACAAGCTGCATGTTGCCAAGTCCAACAGCAGCGTGCAGAGGACACTCGTGATGTCAGGATGGAAATGCCCACATGTGGAATCTAAATGTATTTTAACAAAATCAGGCAAATGATTGGAGTATGTATATGCTTAGGTTAAAATAGGTAACCACTGAAAACGTATAGGTGCATACTAGAAAATAGCCATTAGCAGAATGCATGATATAGTGTTTCTGAGTAATTATATAAAAAATAATTATAGCTTGAATTCTTTGGTTATAGGTAGCAGTACAACTGGACCCTAAGTTTGGCCTCAGAATGGAGCTTTGTAATTGCTGTCTCCTGTATTGTTCTCAGAGGAAGGAATAGGCAGAGCAGTTCCATTGCTAAGGCCGCTCCAGGGAAGAGGTGGGTTTAAAACCATGTTGGAACAGTCAGGTAAAGCAATTAGCAAATGGGTGAACTCTGGTTTTCCAAGACTAGTCAGTGGAAGAGCCAGTTACTGGAGGATGCAAGAGACATGTGCTACTTTTTTCAATCTTTGGCTACAGTTCATGTTAAAATGTATGTATGCGAATTATAGGTTTTTCATGAATGTATGGCCCTTTTTGAAAAGAGGAAAAACTCTGCCTTCTTAATGTTTTCGGACTGTTGCTGTTTCAACCAGTTAACAACTAATTTTAATTTGTACCAGGGATACAGACCCAACTTAGATTAAAAGTAACACCTGTTTAACACAGTAAGACTAAACCCACTTCCTTCCTGCAGGCAAAGAACCCTCAAGTCCATCTTGTGTGGAGTAGCACATAGATTAAAATCTCATCCAAATCTCAGTGTTTGGCCTGGGTTTTGAAACAAATTTTCCTCTTGTGAGAGGTAGCTACCATTTTGGATTGCAGCATGTGTGTTTACGCAGATACTATGTAATATCTGCTTATTCTATCTCATATTTCTGTGCTCAGCTCTTCTGCCTTGTAGGGAGACTCTTTCAACCATTTGTCAGGTGACTTTAAACATTTCAGGGAAATTCTAATTAACCCAGGGACTAGCACTATTCTGCTAACACATGCATTGTTGAGGAATAAAAATCCAAGTTGCTTGTCTTTGTGCTTTTGGGCACAATTGCAGAATTTCTCAGAAATGTCTGTTGTTCAAGCTTGTTTGCCTTAGTGATGGCAGAAGTAATTCATAGCCTGCTTGTAGTCCAAAGTTACAATTGGTAACAATTTTCTATATCATCTTTATTCGTATTATTTTCTGAAACAGTTGAGTGCATACTACTAAAGTACTTGTGTAGAAATTATGAATAGTAAAGCATCGAATTTGGCAGACATTGAAGTCTGGAAGAGATGGGAGGAGGAGACACCCACATGCAGTCATCAGTCTACTATAATTTTTCAGTGCTGGAATTTTCCTTCTAGAGTCTTGAATTCATTTACAGACATACAGTGCTGTGGCTCTGAACTTGTGCAGATTGTACCTTAAGAAAGCCCTGGAATAAACTACAGAAAGGACATGCCTTGATTTCCAGTGTATTTTCACTTAACGAGTAATTTACTCAAGTTTTCATGTGCTGGGTTCTTTGGATCACTGCTTTAAGATAGCTACAACAGCCACCAAGGCTGCCGCTTCTCTGGGAAGGTTTTAGAGGGCTTCTGTCTTAGCGTGATGTAAAGTTGGTTAAAAAGGAGTTTTGAAAAAAATACTATTAAGCAATTGGGAGTTGTTGTGCATTCACATTTTATATAGTATCTAAAAACAGAGTGGTAGGAGAATTATGAGATTCTTTGCAGTTCTTTGATATTCTGTATGATTTATGAAGAGGACTTTTTTCTCAAAACTACCCATTAATTGATGTTAATGTTCATCAATTCATCACGGGCTTAAATATTTTCCAAATTTTGTCCTGGTAAGAAACGGAAGTCTCATTAGTAGTTTGGAGATATGTTCTCTCCAGGATTGATGAGTGCAAAGAGGAGTACTACTGAGCATCTACTGTGTCTTCCTGCAGTTTAACTGCTGGAAATTACTTTTATAGCAGCTTATATCACCTTTGAAATTGTCTTCACAGTCTCAGTTAGGACCTTTTGATAATAATGTTTTTCTTCTGTCAGTAATACATTAGAATTTAATCAGAGTTAATTATAGGCATCAATAGTAGGAGATTAAATAGAAGTAAATTAAATTCCCAAGTGTTTGTTTATCAGCGCTGACTAATGGCCTTGTAGATATCAACTTTTTTTTTTTCGTAGTAGCAAGACCAGAGGGATATTATATAAGAGGTATATTATACCATTATATATGGTAATATATGCAAAAATAGTTCATTTGTTTCCATCATGTTTGGAAACAATTGTCATTACGAAGTCTTGATGTACAATACTCATCTTTGATTTATCTTGTGTAGGATGTGACTTTTCATACATTACACTTGGTCTATCCATTTACTTCTTTAAAAAGGAGAAAAAAAAAAAAACTTCTGCCAAACAGCTTCATTAAAGTTCATTCTGTGAGTTTGACAAATGCTCTCTGTTCATCCTTAATAGTTGCCTGAGAAGAGCATCCGTAGATCTGCTTTTAATGCCAATTGTCATTTTAATGTCCCATGACAATGCATTTACTGCTGTTTCAATCAGTCGTGATGCAGAATAGGCATGAGAAGCACAAAGTATCTAGCTGCTTTTGCCAGATTATGGTCATGATTACATGGTTCCAGCAACTAGTTTCTGCCTCTGGCAGCTTGTCCATCTGTCTTTTAGACTTGGCAACATCACACACGTTATAATGATGTACCCTTTCAAGCACAGACATTTGAGAATATGTCTATGATTCAAGTAAGTACTATCTAATTATACAGTACTATTAAATACAAGGTACCATTGATTCCCTTGCAGAATCCAGTGGCATGTGGGTTGTTTCATAATAGTTCTGCTCTTTCTGGGGCTATTATGTCTTTAAAGATCATGAAGGCCCTGTCAAAATGGCAGGAAATCTGCTCTGTCTTAAAATTTTGTAGTATTTTACAGTAGTTCCCAGCAATTTCTGAAAGAAATATGTAAGCCATAATATATCAAACATAACCAAAACAGTGATGTATTTTAGATTGGTGTTACCCAAGCTCTGATTTTCTAAGACTCTGTCTAGCCAAAATATCTGATTTATCTTAGGCTAATTCTCTTGCCTTTTTTTTTTTTTCCCTGTATAGGGGAATTCGGTGGAGAGATGCCTGGAATTTATAATATATTTTGCTTTATCTTCCTTTCTTAGCTTACTTCTAGCGCTTGTTATTGGATATGAAGCTGATGAGCAAAGCTTTTGAAGAACTCCCCCCAAAAGAAACTAAATAATTTAGAAATACAGCTCAGTAAATCTGAAACTGTTAATTCCTAAATATTGCAGTGATGGAAGAAAGCCTGAGCACAGTCTGCTGTGGATTTTTGCAGAGCAGAGAAGGAGAGTGAGCGTAGGCACCACGCAGCAGGGTATGCAAACGACAGATTTCTTCCCCACTGTGAACAGCACAAAAAATCCTCTCTTGCAGGTTATAGGAAGCCACAGAGATCTGGAGTACAAACCTAGAGGAGAATTATATTGAAGTCTCATTTTGCTTCCCATGAAGGGACTCTTGTCAGTTTTCGTGAGGGTCTAGTAGGTTGCTGACAAGCTAATTTTGGTAGCCCTGGTCTTTACTTTTGCATGCAGCATCACAGCCCAAAGGTTTGCATATGTTGCTGTATTGAACACATTGTGCACAATTGGCCTCAGCTGTATTTTGTGCAGCAAAGATGTGGAGACTCCAGTTTTTACAAGAAGCTGATACGAATTTTCTGAATGATTGCCACACTGAGAATACATTACAATTGAGAAGATACCAGAACAAATATAAACCTTGATAGGACTCACACTGGCTGCCACTGGTGTATAAACACACTGTCCAGTATTTGAGAATCAAAACTATTATTCACTGTAAAGAGTTTTTCTCCAGATACCTACATAGTAACACCTGCATCACAATAGCAGAGCTGTGGTTCTCCCACCAGCAGCGCTAGAAGGGTTTGGGAGCTGGCACTGTAAAACAGATCACAGGGCTGGTTTAGGTAATGCAGTACCCTGGGGTGGTTTTGGGAACAGTAACAGAGTACAACTGTGTCTTCCTTTGTTCTTCATTAAAAAAAAAAATAATCCAAACTGGATATGTTCTAATAGAATGGGCTGTAACCTAAGGAGTTCTGCAGCTATGAACTGACGTGCAAGTCCGGATGTTGTTAGCTTCCCTAGCCCGGCGCGCGGGGGCCGGGTGAAGCTGCAGGCGTCGCTCGTGCTGCCGGGGACACCCTCCATCCCGCTCCGAGCGCTGCCCTTAGCGTCGTGCCGTGCCGGGGAGCACGAGGCGTCCGGCAACGTGAACCCCCCCACACAAATGGGGTGGCTCGAGGAACACTGCGTCTTAGCTGAGGGAAGAAATGGTCCCGTGTGGGCAAACACTATATTACTGCATGAGTTACGCCTTTTAGAAATAGTTTCCTGCTACCAGTGAATGATAGCAAACACATTAGCATGGAGAGCCTGTATCCACTTAATAATCTGAATGCTAAGGAGTTTTTTCCTCCTGAAAGCACAGAATTGTTTTATAAATGTTTTAAAAAATGTGAAATAGATGTTTGACATGAACAATTAAGGGAAACTATTTAGAACTGCAAAATGAATTAAAGCATTAAAATGTCTTTACACAGTTATAGACAGGAGCAAAAGTGCTGGAATTGAAATAATGAGCTAGGAAATTGCCTCTTCAAAAGGAGAATAATTAGAAAACTGCCTTTCCAGAAATAATGTCCTTCCAATTTTACTTTCCTCTGTTAAGCTGCTTTTAATTCTTGACATTCAACAGTGATGTTGATAGAGATCAGAAGTCTCACAAATAGAGTTTCCTGTATCTTAGAACTGTTTAAAAAGTTGAAATCCCCTTTGGGGGAGATTTTGGGGGGTTACATTTCCTTGACCTTTTGGAAAAGGAAGAGGCCAGTGCCACTGAAAGTTATTTTCTAGGCCCTGTGCA